TGCACTTATATAGACGCTATCCCATGCAGGGGAGTGTCTCAGAGAGCTTAACAGTGGCAGAGCCCGACTCCAAGCCGGGGGGTTGGGAGGTGGCCGTAAGCACAGTCGAAGAGGCAAGTTTTCAGGCAGGACTTGAAAAAGTCTTTTTTAAAAGCAATCTTGAGAGTTCACGATTGTTACAAACACCTCCAGCCGATAAGATTTTACCTGAATCTTCTGATTGTGCTGCAACACAGCAAAGCACTCTAAGATAATTATTATTCCATTCTATTTGGCTTACTTTACAAGTAAAGTAAGCCAAATAGAATGATCAATACTGTCAGGTTTACAGGCCGATATAGATCTTGCGCTGGCTTGGTTGGGCATGTGGTTGTTTGATGAACTTGGCATCGTTCGTCATTGCCACAGTGTGTAAAGTGATTACTAATTGTCTCATCCTTCCAAATGACAGGTCTTTACAAAACAAGAGAGCCAGGCTTAAAGCCTGGTTCGGTTAACAAACCAGATGTTGAAGATTTGCTTACAAGGTTTATTAAATACAATTTTTTGTAAAGCTAAAATACTAAATTTACTAGAATCAATCTTCCATCAGATTTAAACAAAATATTCCAGAGGAACTACCTTCTAGTAATCACAAAACAAGTACTTTTGAGAAATCTTTCTCAAGAACGTTGCACATGAATTCCATTCCACAGTGAGATAACCACTCTAACTGCATTGCTTACAATTGTTAACTTGGGTCACGTTCAAAATATTTGATTTCCTTTAAACTCAATGTTTGTCTCCTTTTCCTTCAGGTACCTTGCCATTAATTCTAGGTCTCAAAATAAATAAAACTGATGACTCTCACTCCATGCTTTGCGTGGGGCATTGCTGTGCGCAAAATGGGTGCCATATTCACCCACAAAATCCACACGCTCATGCCGCTTTACACACTATATCCTGTGAAGTGCACTGACACATCTCTATGAGGTGATAAGGCGCTATAAAAAAAATGCAAGTATAATAATTTGTTTTCATCAGCTGGGTGTCAGAGACATACAGAAACCAATTACCATGCTTGAGTATCCAAAGCAGTCTGAGTTTCATATGTCAGCTTGTGTGATAGCCTGGTTTAGTTAGTCGCACTCTTGCCTTAAGTGTCAAAAGGTTGTCAGGACGACAGATTCATAATCTAGGCCAGGGTGGTCCAACTGGCTTCCCACCGGCCACTTACAACACTTGGTATGATTTCATCCGGCCAACGAACACGGTCGCAATTCGTGTCCGGAGCTGAAGTTTGGTCTGACCCAGTGAAAAAAACAGTGACGACAAGTGGCAGTTAGCAGCAAACATGTCGATCACTTTCAAACTGGTAACATGAGAGTCACGCAGAGAGAGAGATACAGAGACATACAGACAGAGAGAGACTGCTTTATACATAGACAGACAGAGAGAGAGAGAGATACAGACACAGACACACACACAGGGGTACAAAGACAACAACAACTTGTATCTATATAGTGCTCTTCACCCGGCTGCCCCGCATGAAGGGTGCTTTATAAAAGCAGATTCCATGGCACTATTCACACACATCGGAAACACACACAGACGGAGAAATTCAGTGATATACAGAGAGAGAGAGACACACACACACACACACACAGATACCTTGATGCTGGCTGTATATTTGTTTTATAAAATTTGTATAAACTTTTATATTTGCCTATTTAAAGTTTGCTTTATAACTAAGATATAGTGAAATTAAGTAATACTGTTGTACAATTTAAAACATAGGATTTTTATACTATTCTTACGGGCTATGTTACTGGAAGGCAAACACAAACATATTGCTTATTCCTTTCTACCCCACATCTGTGCCATGGCATGCCTTCTCCCATCTCCGCAACGTTGCCCGGCTTCACCACTGTCTCACACCGCGAACCGCCAAAACCTTCATACACGCCTTCATTATATCAAGGCTTGACTACACAAACTCACTGCTTGTCGGCCTCCTTCCTCCACAGGCTGCAGATCATCCAAAGCTCTGCAGCCCATGTCCTCTCCCACACCAGGCTCCGTGACCCTATCACCCCCATCCTCGCCCAACTTCACTGGCTTCCCATCACACAGAGGATACAGTTCAAGTGAGAGACCTGAGTTCAATTCCAGGCAGAGGGCGAAACCTTGGGCAAGTTTCCTTACTCCACACAGAGCCTAATAATAATCCCTCCAAAAAAACAAAACAATAATAAATTGGTCATTTTCAATCCACGACTGTTTGTGGGACATTGCTGTGCGCAATTGGCTGCTGCGTTCGCCCACAAATATAGTCAATTCACTTTACAGTATATTCTGTGAAGCGCTTTGGGACGTCTAGAAGACGTGAAAAGCGCTATATCAAATGCAAGGATTATTATTATTATTAAGTTCCTGGTCCTCACCTTCGAAGCCCTCCACGGTCTTGCTCCCTCCTATCTCTGCGACCTCCTAACCCCCTTCCACCCTGCTCGCTCCCTCCGCTCAGCGGTCTCCGGCCTGCTTCACATCCCCCGCCTTGCTCACCCCACTGCCATTCTGCCCCCATCCTCTGGAACTCTATCCCGCAGTCCCTCCACCTCGCCCCCTCCCTTGCCTCCTTCAAGATCCATCTCAAGACCCTCCTTTTTGACCGTGCTTTTGATCATCCTACTCTCCCCCCCTGCCCTCCACCCTCCTTGACACCGACCCCCACCTCGGGTCTATAACTCTGTTGTCCAGTGCGTTAGGACATCCTCCCGACGTGAACGGCGCTTTACAAATGTAGTAGTTTTGTTGCTTCTTGTAGTAGTATGGGACCCAAGAACGTTTCTCAAGCCCAGCATCCAGCCCTCAGCAGTCAAAAGGTTGGGCCCCTGTCTAAGCTGATACACTAGTGCAGTGTTGGGGACCCTCTGCAGTGTTGAAGGTGCCATCCTTCAGGAGACTTTAAATATAGGTCCCGTCTGCTGGGTCAGATGGATGTTATAGATCCCATGGCACCATTCAAAAAGAGAAGGGAATTTCTCCCCGTGTCCTGGCCAACAATCTCCCAGATAAAATTGGCCATTCACTTTACGGCTGTCGGACATTGCTGTGCAGCCGTATTCACCTAAAATGCACAATAACTACCAACAGCATTCTGTTTCTACAGGTATAGTTTTCCCTGTAAAACGGCGTATAAATACGCGGTCTACTGAAAAACCCATAGAGTTGGCAGGTAGACAGAATGTTCGGTGGGCCGGATGAAATCATCCCCCGAGCCACCAGATGGACCATCCTGTTGAAGGGTAAATCCATTAAAAATAATTTGGTAAATAGTATGTTTACTACAGACCAATTATACAGATTATATGTTAGATAAACATGTATATTACCAGACTGAGGTGTAATGTATATGGATCATAGACAGATCATATAGATTATATTATATATTACCAGCTGGATTATAAATTATATGTTAGATAAACGTGCTTTTAACAGTTGTCAGCATACAAAAATCCTTACATTTAGCATAGCGCCTTTCTCGTCACATAGCGCTTCGCAGGATACCCTGTTAAATATAGGGACTGTGTTTTATGGGCAAAGACAGCAGATAATTTCCCTGCAGACCACAAACAGTCACAAAGTGAATGACCAATTTTATTTGGGAGATCGTTGGCCAGGATACGAAGAGAAACTCCTTCTCAAATAATATCGAAGGATCTCCAACAAGGGAACACACTCCCAACACTGCATTGGCACGTCAGCTTAAACTATACGAATCCCAACATGGGGCTTGAACCCACCATCCTCTGACTCAAGAGGTGCGAGTGCTATCAACTAAGCCAGATTGACAACCCTGATTACCATAGACCAATTATAGATGATATATTACAGACAAATACAGTACCAGACATATGTGTGTTACATATATGCTAGAGATAGGTGATTTAGATCATATGTTGACTTTACAGTCTATTCTGTGAAGCACTTTGAGACATCTTGAAGATGCGCATGTTCATTTCCAGACCATTGTGTGCTGCATATATACTACAGGTGGGTAATATAGATGATATAGATTATATAGACATTCTCATAATCAGACTGCAGTGTGTTGTGCATATATATATATATATACACACACACACAAACACAATGACAGGTTACATATATTGGATACAGACTTATACCGCCAAGACCATAGTGTGTTGTATATATAAATGTATACACACAAAAGGCAGGTTATATTGTATAATATACACTCATATTAGCAGAGCGCTGTGTATTGTACAGACAGGTTAGATTATATTAGAGATGACACACAAAACATACACACACAGAGCAGAATGTGTTGTACAGACAAGTTAGATTATATTAGAGATGACACACAGACACACAGTCATACACAGACAGACGCAGTCACACACACAGTCACACACACACACAGTCACACAGAGTCACACACACAGACACAGACAGAAACACACACAGATAGACACACAGTCACGCACACACAGTCACACAGTCACACACACAGTCAGTCACACTCACACAGTCAGTCACACTCACACACAGTCAGTCACACAGTCACACACACACACAGTAACACTCACACACACAGTCACACACACAGTCACACTCACACACAGTCACACACACAGTCAGTCACACACACACACACACAGTCACACACACACACAGTAACACTCACACACACAGTCACACACACAGTCACACTCACACACAGTCACACACACAGTCAGTCACACACAGTCACACACACAGTCACACACACACACAGTCATACACACACACAGTCACACACACACACAGTCACACACAGTCAGTCACACACAGTCACACACAGTCACACACACACACACAGTCACACACACACACACAGTCAGTCACACACAGTCACACACACACACACAGTCACACACACACACAGTCAGTCACACACAGTCACACACACACAGTCACACACACACAGTCACACACACACACAGTCAGACACTCACGTTAGCAGGCCGCGGCATGCTGACCGCCGGCTCCTCGCGCTCCCATTAATCTCCAGTCAGACGGTTGCTGCGGCTCTCGCGCCGCTCCGCTCGAGACTCCCAAACACCCGACACAACGGACCGGAAGTGAGCGGCCGCCGGTGCAGCAGCGCACACCCTACTTCCGGTGTGGGAGCGCCTGCGCCGACAGCCGTCACTCAACCGCTGGGGGGGGCGGGGCGTGTGGACACTGCCCCCTCCACCTCACACCGTGTGCACAGCTCTCACTGTCACCATCAGAGACTGTCGGCCTTCCCACCTCCTCCCTCCACAGGCGGCAGATCATCCACAGCTCTGCAGCCCGTGTCCTCTCCCGCACCAACCTCCGCGACCCCATCCCCCCCACTCTCGCCCGACTCCACTGGCTCCCTGTCCCTCAGAGGATCCAGTTCAAGCTCCTGGTCCTCACCTCCAAAGCCCTCCATGGCCTCGCCCCACCCTACCTCTGCGACCTCCTAACCCCCTACCAACCCGCCCGCTCAGCCGGCTCTGTCCCGCTCCACGTCCCCCGACCCACCCGCCCCACCGTTGGCGGGAGAGCCTTCAGCCACTCTGCTCCCAACCTCTGGAATTCCATCCCCCAGTTACTCCGCCTCACCCCCTTCTTGGCCTCCTTAATAATAATAATAATAATAATCCTTGCATTTGATATAGCGCTTTTCACGTCGGGAGGACGTCCCAAAGCGCTTCACAGAACACACTGCAAAGTGAATTGACTGTATATTTGTGGGCGAACACGGCAGCCAATTGCGCACAGCAATGTCCCACAAACAGTCGTAGATTGAAAATGACCAATTTATCATTGTTTTGTTTTGGAGGTATTATTATTAGGCTCTGTGTGGAGTAAGGAAACTTGCCCAAGGTTTCACCCTCTGCCTGGAATTGAACTCAGGTCTCTCGCTTGCAAAGCGAGTGCTCTAACCACTGAGCTACAGGACTCCACTCCTTCAAGTCCCACCTCAAGACACCCTCCTCTTCGACCATCCTATCGGCCACCCCCCTTCCCCTCCCCCCCCTTCTCCCCCCCCCCCCCCCCCCCCCAGCTCGCGTCTGAAATGCAGTACTCTGTCCAACGCCTTGGGACGTTGTCCCGACGTGAAAGGCGCTATACAAATGTTGTATCAGACAGTACACTTAATATCAGTCTGTATAGAGGTGTCTCTGTTAATATCAGACTGTATAGAGGTGTCTCTGTTAATATCAGTCTGTATAGAGGTGTCTCTTAATATCAGACTGTATAGAAGTGTCACTGTTAATATCAGACTGTATAGAGGTGTCATTGTTAATATCAGACTGTATTGAGGTGTCACTGTTAATATCAGACTGTATATAGGTCACTGTTAATATCAGACTGTGTAGAGGTGTCACTGTTAATAGCAGACTGTATTGAGGTGTCATTGTTAATATCAGACTGTATTGAGGTGTCACTGTTAATATCAGACTGTATAGAGGTGTCACTGTTAATATCAGACTGTATTGAGGTGTCTCTGTTAATATCAGACTGTATAGAGGTCACTGTTAATATCAGACTGTATAGAGGTGTCACTGTTAATATCAGACTGTATATAGGTCACTGTTAATATCAGACTGTGTAGAGGTGTCACTGTTAATAGCAGACTGTATAGAGGTGTATCCCATGGATGGAAATCAAAAAGAAAACAGTCAGATAATCGGTTCATTTCAATATGCACTACAACCCAAACGCAGGTGGAATTTGATGATGAAAGGGCTGAAGTAGAAAAGGCTAACATACCTCATAATTCAACTGCAGGCAATGGCCGACTCAATACCGAGATTTGATGGGAAGCAGCATGCTTACGAACATTTTGATGAGGTTTCGTGGTTAGCCATACTAAACACATGTGATGAGGAGAAGAGAGCCAGTTAGTAATAATGATACTTGCTACTCAAGTATTTAATGTATTAATCTTACAAATGAAATATGGAGAAGGGACATTGGAAGGGTTGCACAGATCTATAATGAGTGCCGTGGGGTACGATAGAGGAGATCCAAATTCAATATTAGAAAATGTAGACAGACAGTGGATACACAACTTGTTACATTGACAGATTGTGGGATGCATTCGATCACACCTATGGGCCAGCACTAAATAAATGTCAACTAACAGAGAATTTGGAGCAGAGATGTTACAGATGCACTGTTTCTCATGCCCTGCTCCATATATAGCAAATTTTGAGGAAACCGAGTGAATAATGACCATGATGAGAATTGGATAAAAAGGAGAATGGTAATGAAGTGGGAGGCCAGACAGGGAGACAGTGATAAACCAAAAGGCCATAAAATAGCAGCTGTAGTGGAGAATAATAAAGAAAGAGTTTGGAAGAAAAGTGGGGACAAAAGGTTGTTGCTGAATTTGCAAAGTTAAGGAAGGCGATAAAAACAATAAGCCAATTGATTGAGCAACTTTACCGGTCCTAGTGCCCCACCGATGTGCCTCAGTAATTGATACCTTCAGAAAATGGGTAGAAGCTTTCTCATTACTTTGTACTATAACACAAGCTACTGCAGAGACATTACTACATTATAATTTTACCCGATGGGGCCTCCCACTAGCAATCGATTTGGATCAGAGATGGCACTTCACGGGTAACACAACGACATATGCAATGTAATTACATGGATCAAACAACAATTTCATATTAGACAACATCCTCAATCTTCGGGAATTGTAGAACGAATGAATCAAACTTCAAAAACCATGTTCCATAATTTCGTAACTGACAAAACAAAATGTTGGGATCAACTATTTGAACCTCTGATTCTGATGGCAATCAGATCAACTCAGATCAACTCCATCAAGAACTACCAAATTATCTGCTCAGGTTAATGACTGGCCGACTGATGCACACTCCTGAACATTTGTGGTTCACACATATGTCGGCTCCAGAGATTCAGTCTTTAACTCATGAACAATATGTTAAAACAGTTGTATATTATTATTGTTGTTGTATCAGCACTTGAAAGGTTAATTTCTCAGCTGAAGACCTTTCTTTTCAACCGCGCCTTTGGTCACCTTCCCACCCCTCCCTCTGGCTCGGTCCCGGGATCCTAAACTGTAAAGTGCTCTGAGACGCCGTCCAGCATGGAGGACGCTATATAAACCCAAGTTGTTGTTGCTGTTCACTGCAACTAATATCGTTCAATCTAAACAAGTAAATGCCATGCATTTAAAAAGTTTCAGTTGATTGCTGTGATACCATTTAGGTTCATTTTTCGAGGATCGAGTTCAAAATCCTTACCCTCCATGGCCTTGCTCCATTCTACCTCTCTGACTTGCTGACCTCTTATCACCCTGTCCGCTCCTTCCGCTCAGCAGGCTCCGGCCGACTCCATGTCTCCACCAGGCCTGCCCCACCATTGGCAATCAGGCCTTCAGCCTCTCTGCTCCCAACCTCTGGAATTCCACCCCACATTCCCTGAATGTCCCTCCTTTGCCTCCTTCAAGGCACACCTCAAGACCCTCCTTTTCAACCGTGCCATTGGCCATCCTCCTAGCCTCTCTGCCCTGCACCCTCCCTGATCACAAGCCCCACGCTCGGGTCCTAATGTTCAGCATTTTGGGATGTCCTCCTGACATGAAAGGTGCTTTACAAATGTCATTTTGTATTGTATTTGGAGTCCTGTAGCTCATGGTTAGAGAACTCACCTTGCAAGCGAGAAATTTGGGTTTGATTCCAGGCAGTGCAAAACCTTGGGCAAGTTTCCTTACTCCACATGCCTGGTAATAATTCTTCAAGAAAAAAACAATAATAAATTGGTCATTTCAATCCACGACTGTTTGTGGGACACTGCCGTGAACAATTGGCTGCCACGTTTCGCGCACAAATATACAGTCAATTCACTTTATAGTATATAAAGTATAAAGCGCTTTGAGATGTCTAGAAGATGTGAAAAGCACTATATCAAATGCAAGGATTATTATTATATTATAATCGAAATGCCTCACCAGGTGAGTAGAACATGCCTCACCAGGTGAGTAGGTCAATCGGTTATGATCAAGGTATACGATCCAAAGGGACCATTCTCCCCTCAATATATTGGATCATATCACATAATTGATAAAGCCTCTCATCAGTGTATTAAGTAGCCAGGCATAGGAATAAGAAAATTCAACCAAAGTGGTATCACAGTAATCAACTGAATTTTTTTAAAGGCCACACTAATTCCGATTCCAAATTGGCAACACCTCAAATTTTTGTACTCTGTTATCATCCACCCCACCTGGATTAACTCCATATTTGGGATGATTCAGAGCTTTGGCAGCTCTTTTCATCCAAAGGAGGAAGAGTGAGATCAGGAAAATATGAAAGAGGATGAAAGTGAATGGGTTCACTTTTGGTCATGCACATTGTAGGAGATTCCCCAAATCACCCCGAGAGCATGGGGAATTTAAAATTAATTTTTTCTTAGTATTATTACAGAAAATAAAGCTTTGAAGAGACAAAAAAGGGAAAGAAAGACAATTCAGCAGAGAATGTGACAAGTTGAAAGAAAGAGAGAGAGAGCAGGATGGGTTAATTGAGCAGAAAAACACCAAAAAAAGAAATTCAATGTGAAAAAGGACAACTAGAACAACAACAACAAAAACAACAACAAATTACACCGATATAGCGCCCTTCACATCGGAAAGAATCCCAGGGCACTGGACAGTCAGGGTTTTTGGACCTAAGCTAGGAGTTGGGGTCACGAGGGGTGGAGGGCAGGAAGGGTGGCCAAAGGCATGGTCGAAGAGGAAGGTCTTTAAACAGGACTTGAAGCAGGCAAGAGAGTGAGTGAGGTGGATGGATTGCAGGATAGAGTTTCCGAGTATGGGGGCAGAGATGCTGAATGCCTGACCTCCAATGGCGGGGCAGTAAGTGCCGACAACAGAAAAGTCAAAAGTTTTAAAGAGCGAACAATGTCCTTCGGAAAAATCAATGCAGATTTGTGAAAAGCTTTTATTACATAGTGACTGTCATGAATGTTAAAAGAAATACAGCCTCCAAAATACAGCAGAGAGCTAAAGCACCGGGTGCCCACCAAGGCTTCCCCGGACCGCAATGAGGTTCCCTGGCCTCTGT